ATTATAAAATCCACAGAAAGGACTGCTCTGCAGTCACTATAACAATTACCTTGCAGACCAACGAACATAATAACACTAGTTTTCCCCTTTTTTGGAGTGAATGAAGGCTTCCCTGGATCCAATATCTTGCACAACTCATTAAAAATCGCCTACAGAAAAAGCAAAGAACCTCGTAAGAACTGAAGAAAATGTGAAAAGATGAAGAGGGACACTGTTTAATCTGCCGCAAACTGAGCAGTATAATCAGAACAGATTCACACGGAATGACAAAACTTTACATAAGGAGATACACAACTAAGCTTGACAGGTCCTATCTCTTATCCACATGGAATTATTCAAATTAGTGTAAATGGAAAAAAAAAAAAAAAAAGGCAACCTTGATTTGTTTCCGTCAGCAAAAATATTTTATTCTACATCATATTACCATCTTCAAAATGTTCCTAAGGTTATATCTTTACACTCTAATCAGTACTTGTAATGATGGGTACAGTAAAAGAAACAGCCTGCACTAATCTCTAATCCATCACTTAGCACATGTAACAGAAATTTCAGCTCACTGGTAGAATATCAGAAGAATCAACATATTAAAATCATCACCAACCTTCGGAAAGAACAACAACAACAACAAAGCTTTTTAGTCCCAAACTAAATATATAAGAATAAAACATAGATCAACATAAGTCAACCTTTCTCTTTATAAGATTATTATAAGACCAACACGAATTTCCCATCGTTCTTCCAATCCCCATCTTAGCAATTCCCACGAAAATATATAAACAGAACTAAAAAATTTCCTTTTTTCCAAGACAAATGTCAATATCAAAGCTTATTTAGAAACGAAACGAACACTTTCTGTCAATAAATTCCATAAGGAAAGATACAACTACTAATTCCTTCAATTTAAACTCCTTGCACAAAAATTTCTCATTCAAGTATGACAAGACAATACAATCTACAGCAAAGAGTTTACAACTCAAATAAATTAGACATGGAGTCCACTAACAGAAAAAGGAAGCTTTATCCGGTCACCTTTTGGATTATATTGCGCTTATTGTGGCCAGCGGCTATATCATCGAAATTGACGATTCTCTTGATATTGTTCTTCATATCGGCGAGGAGCTTGACCTGAACATCGGCTTGGAGAAGAGCGCGCGTGATCTCGTTCAGACAATCATTCAGCACCTTCTCGTCGATGATCGTCGCATTGCTCATCTGCTGAAGAGCGCGCGTGATGTTACCCCCTAACTGCGCGAGCACCATTTTCTCTGATCGACGATAACTTGAACTGATGAAAATTGGATGAAGTTAGGGTTCCGATGAACAATCTTTGTTCTGAAGTAGAAACTGGTTCGCCGGAGGGGGGAGAGAGACGAGAGACGCGAATATCCAATGACCAATGGGAAATTTACATAGACCTCCTCTACATCAAAATAGAATTAGGGTCTGATTTTTATTTCATAGACCTATGAGACTTATACAAACTATGTAACACGGCACGGGCTAGTACATGTTTTGGGAAAAATTAAAAGGTCATTAATTAATAAATTATTATAATACGTATGTCATTCATAAAGTAGACATAAATTCGTCATTTGTAAAAAATTATACATTATTAAAAATCTCCTTATATACAAATTTATTAATTTGATGATTGGGTAACTAATTGTATCCATATTCTAATATTTTCAACTCCTTCCGATTAGTACACGTGAAACAACGACGTATAACTGGCCATAACTAAAAACAAGTCTTTTCAAGAACAGTCATACATGTGATAAAGACTGACTATGACTCTTGTTTATGGTCATGACACAGAAAAACATAAGAGGAATTGCCTTCGCTGGAACTTAAACGGAACTCTAACATCAGAAGGAGTTATGTTCATCCGAGAAATCAACACCTTCTCACCTGCGTGATCTCCTGTCAATATCCTACATTCAAGAACATGCGGAGAGAGCTTCGTAACAACCAAACGTGTGCCATTAGATAGACCCCATAGAATGTTCCATGTTTCGCAACAACATGACCGGAGTTCTATCTTCAAATGCAACTCATGGTTCGACGTTCCCGAACACTTAATACTATTCAAGAACTCGGGTGTGTGGATATCAGCCAAAAAGCCATTGCCGGAATCCGACTAAGACGTACTGTCAGAGCTCAAATATGTACGACCTTCAGCAGAATTCATATCCCCATGTATTGATTGATAGACTTAACGACCTCCAAAGTAGACGCTAATATAGTTCTGTCCTTCAAATAACTTGGAAAGTCAGTTGCATTTTTGAATATTGGATAGGTACTTTCGACGATGGTAGCAATTGGATCATTTGGGGTTTCCAATCGTATATCCTTTGGAATGTCAATCGCGGCACAACTGTCGTTTGATCCTCCTACATTCCCATCTCCAATGCTAACAATCCACATAGTTGTTGATTGCATACACCTCGCCTTCGTTCAGTACACCTCGAAATACTCTCATATTTGTAGAATGTATTATGTCTTTAATAGATGCACCCTACAAAATAAATTTATAAATATTAATTAAAATATTTTTCAAATTATATGAATTTGGTATTACGAATGAAAATATTTACCTGTTCATCATGAAACAATATATGGAATGCGTTCCAGCTCTCCTGTTCGTGATGCGTTTCAATTATTCGGACTGCTCTCAAACGCAAATAAGGTTTGTTTGTCCTACTCGCGGAATCGAGTGTATCCCAGACTGGCGGCCTATATTATCGATGTGTTCTAAAATTTATCTCTGTATTTTTTTTCTCTAAACGCTGTGAATGACGTGAAGAAATAATGGTGGTAGTGGATATCCTTTTATACAACTTCTTTTTAGCACGTTGGTATTGACCGAAAGTGATTGATGAGAATTATTTAAATGAAAAGATATTTGTAAGATTTTAACCAAAAGTGATTGATGATAATTATGGATCAGCTTTAATTAATCTTTTTTCTTTTGGCAGACACCTTATTAAACGCAGAATATGCTGCTTTCAAAGAAGAGTTTTATATGGAGCCACAAAAAGAGGAAATTTATTTGGATTTTGATTCCGTATTTTTTTATTGTATTTCTAAAAAAAAAATCGGAAAAATAAATATGCTAATAAAGAGTCCGAATTGTGAAAAAAAAATGGCAAAAAATCATCTAATTTTGGCAAAATGGAGTGGTCTATTTTATGGAAATTTCAATAAACATAAACAAAAAGTATAGCATTTAACAGATAAGTATACAAATTCATTTACGGAGTACGATTGGTCGACACGTTCAATGGTTATGTTGCATAACACAAAAACTTGTAATTGTTTGTAGATCAAATATATTTGAGGATCTATATACAAACATTATACAACTTAAATAAATAGCTAGCAGATAAATGCTATTTAGCTATTCCTCTGCTAAAATACATCTGGATGGAGCCGTCCTGGCATGGGGTTGTTATTCTGGGCCCGGTTCAAATGCAATTTCAAGGCGTAGTTATTCATCTCAAGACTTTGCAATTGCTCCTGATACCGAGCCACCAACTGCTTCAATTGGTGTAATTCTTGGATCTGCACATCGTTCTCCTTTTGGCGTTCAAACTGGATGCCAACTGCACGCTTTAGGACCACATTTTCTCTTACAAGTACTTCGTTTTGCTCCTTAAGCGTCGAGTTTTCCTACAAAAAACCAATATAAGCAAACATTTAACACAAAGGATAGCTCCATATATGCTGATAATGAAAAAAGTAATATACAGTATGTTCTTTTACGAAATGTATTAATTGAAAGATATGTATGAACCCCCTGACCTTTCGAAAATCCTCGACAGCTTGGGCACTCGCACGAGAGCTTATTGATTTCACCAAGGTCTCCAACACGGTGGCTGCCCTGGTTTTTGCGTCATCTATGTTAGTGGCACAATTCATCTCCTTCACAATCAAATCAACCCATTCTGAACCTTCCAAAAAATAACAAGAGGCAAAAAAATTTGAAAGTTAAAATATGACTATGTGACAATAGTAAGAGACTTCGAGAATAACCAGTAATGCAAAAAAAAAGGCCAAAAAATATCGAAAAATAAGATGCATGTATATCAATCATACTATTATCCATATGCGCATTCTCATTGACATGTTCGAGATGAAGACCATGGATTCTCTTAACAGCCAGACCCAAATCATTGCCGGACTCTTTTAGTGCTCTCTCCAGAAGCTGAAAAGTGTTTGGAGAAAAAATTGTAAGTGGCCATAGTTTTTCTTTTAACAACTGATAAGAGGGGGAAAAGGCACAATATGTTATAAAGCTTTCAAAGTTATGCATCTTCTCATGTTTCGAGTATCCGAAAAAATGAGCTTCAACGGGATTAATGTCGTCAAAAGCGCAACATATCAGCTACTATTGCCATTAGATTCAACAGCTTAATACGAGCAACCACCATAGGTATATGCTAGTTCATATCAACTCGAGACTTGTAATAACAGAATATACTATTTCTCATGATTGTCAGCTTCTAAATTATACCGAGTGTACAGAGACACTCAAAGGAATATGCTCGTTCATCTGTAATCAATTAAGTTCCCATTCTCATAAATTATCAACAAAAAATTGCACAATTATTTCAATGTTAATTAAACGAATCTCGGCCGGAGCTCCTAACGCAAATAAACAACTCCGATTGCAAAAAACTAGTACCACAAGAACACTAAAACCCAGCACGCACAGTGTTCACCTGAATTTCTGTATCAGGAAAAACAGACCGAAGCTGATCAAGTGGACCGGGCTGAACCGGCGGCGAGTAAGAGCACCTCGACTTCTTGTAAGCCGGCTGAATTTCATCGACAAACGATCTCTTGCGATTGCGACAAACGACAGCAGCAGCCATCACTGAATCGATTTGGTTCGAGGAATCTTATGATTCGATTGCTCGTATATTTGAAGGTGGTCTTATGAATTTGTAGCGTGAAGGATATTTATAGGGAACCAATATCGGGCACGTCTCTAAGTCGGTGGAAAAAAAAAAAAAACGGATTTTAAAATTGTAATTATTGAGAAACTAAAATAATTGCCTATAATAAACTGGAATAATAAACTGTGCGAAATTCCAAGATGGGCCGTAATGGCCTATTAAAATCAAAAACAATAATAATAAATAACATATAAATGGAATATTTCAAGAATTATCGTATCTACTGTTCACTTGAAGAAACTTATTCTTTGGGCATTCTTTGAAATAAAGTCTTCAATGATGCGCTCATAACTAATCTTCTCCAGTATGTCACTCTCAATTGCTATTCTAGCCAAATCATTGAGCCTTTCTTATGTCATTGTGGAACGCAAGTAGGACTTTAATAGCTTCAACTTTGAAAAGCTTCGTTCCGCTGATGCAACAGTCACGGGAATAGTCAACATAACTCTATATGCAATACTTGCATTTGGAAAGCAATCATGTCACTTTAAAAATTTTAAAATTTCAATCGGCCCCATATCATCCTTAGGAATGAAATCTTGAAGAAACTTCAACTCCACATACAGTTCACTGGCATCAATATCCGAATTCCCATCTTTTGCAAGGGCAACCTCAAGATTCTGACAAGATGATTTCAAGCTCTTAGTATCTAATGATTTCAATGCAGCAGAAGTAAATAAGAAACCATAATTTTTCTGGTAACTTTGATATTGTTCAAATCTTCTTGTAAGTGAGGCAATAGCCTGATCAACAATAGGAATAAAATAGCTGATTCTAAATGATTCTTCCGCAGACTGTGTGGCCAAGTTTGTGTCATCCGGGCTCTCATCAAATTGTCTTTTTCTTGTAATTTTTCGTTTTTTTACGAAATATTGTACCAATATCCATCTCAAGTGCAATTCCTTTGGTTATCTCTAGTGCCTCCAAGAAACCAGTTTCCCTGTACTTTTTGAAGAAAGAAATCGACCCTTCCACTTTCTCAATAGCAACATCAATAAGCATATCCTTTGCTTGCAAATGTTTGCTCACTAAATTAACAGCATACAATACTTCATACCAAATGACTATTGCTAGTATAAATTCAAACTCTCCGAGTTCATTATTTGCCAAACTTTTAGCCTCGCTACTTGATCCAGGATCATTATCAGTATCAGATACCTGAAATTGGAATAAAGAAAATATGTATTAATATTTGTGTTAACCAAAGGGGTAATCATTATCAACAAAAAAAAAACAATTACATGAAGCAGAGCCTCTCGAATGTCATCGAATAGCTTTAACACTTTCAATACGACTCTCCCAACGTGTAGCTGACACTGACTTGAGGGTCAATCCTGATATGTTATCTTTCAGAATATGTCATTTCTTAGTTGACTTAGCAAAAGTGGTGTAGATGCGTTGGATTATTCCAAAGAAGTCTTTAGCACAAGATTTGGCCATATCACAAAGTGTTAAATTAAGACTGTGTCAACCATAAGCAGAATAGAAAGCTCTAGGATTTACATCCAAGAGTTTGTTTTGTACTCCTTGATTTTTTTCCTTTCATATTTGACCCATTATCATAACCTTGTCCTCTCACATCATCTATATCACGACCAAGACTCTTTAATTCACTTACTAGGACATCAAAAAGGCCTTGCCCAGTTGTATCATTTACATCTAAAAATCTCATAAATGATTCTTCAATTTGAACATCAATTGAATATAAATCCACATATCTTATAATCAAAGACATTTGTTCTTGGTGGCTTGCATTGGGAGTACAATCAAGAATGACAGAGAAATACTTTGCACTCTTTATTTTCTTAATAGTTTCAGACTTAATAGCAGAAGCAAGCAGGTGTATCAACTCATTCTGAATTCTAGGCCCCAAATAATGGACATGAGTTTCTTCGTTTGTAATACGACGAACATGCTCTTGAATAACTGGATCAAATTCAACCAACATTGCAATTAAACCCAAGAAATTCCCATTGCTATCATCATACAGTTTGCTATTATATATGGCCACGAAATGCTAGATATGCTTGGCTAGAAATTTAACAATGGCCACTATTCTGAAGAGAACTTTTCTCTAGTGCTCTTTTTCTTTCTCAAGTTGTCGTTGAGAATCTTTATCAATACCTTCACCCTTTTCCAAGTTATTACGCAGATCATACCAAGTAGTCATATTCAAAACATGATCAGAACTTGTTTCATGCTCACCAAGTCTTTCATAAAGATGTGTCCAATTATTAAACCCATCATTTGCCAACTGACCTTTCGATGCCCATTTGTAAACAATTTACAGCTGAAGCAAAAAACTTTATCTAGTTCTTTGGAATGCACAAGCCAATCTCTATTGCACCCCTCCCCATTTCGTAGGATTCTAGTATAGGCTAGTGCAGAAAACCTTCTGCCATATCTATCCTTAGGACCTTTCACAATGGATAATTCTCTTTTAGGACCCTTTTGTGCTAAAATGTCAATCTGCCCAGGACCAAGTGAATCCCAATACCTTGGATCAAATATGTTAGGCGAAAAAGAAGTATCAACATTGGCATCATGAGAAGAACTATCCAAGTTAACATCAATGCTAGTGCCATCCATGTTATCACCATTATTAGGAACTTCCTCAATGTTTTCCTCAAGTATAGGAGGAATGTTCTCTACCTGTGTCTCAGTCTCACCATCATTAGGAACACTAGTATTTTGTGTAGTACCCTGATCAAGTGTCTGATTAACTAGTGGTTCTTTCCTAATAAATCTTTCTATGGCCCCTTTCTGAGATTCAATTAGTTCATCGACTCTTTGTTTCTTTCTACGCTTTTGATAGCCGGAATCATATTTTCTATGATGATTTGCCGTTGACATGACTTGCATTTGCAATGGAAAGAACAAAATTAATTGATGTATTTTAATCAAGACATAGACATCAACATAATTAAATGATGAAAGATTGAAAGAAGATAATAAAATGAAACTAATCCTTAGTCTTATACCTGCTGGCTGCTCTTGACCTCGCGCGTGGCCTTGGTGATGCGAGAAGTGGCCACAACCAGATGGCGATGGGCGATGCTGCGATGGCTCTACAGCTGTTGTGGGATGTTGTAATTTATATAATTTTTGTAATTTTCTATGTATTTAATTTACTGTAAATGGAAGAATGAAGGTAAGATTGGGGAAGAATAAAGAAGAGAGCAAGAGAGAGAAAGTGAGGACGAAGTAGAAATTGCTGATTGATTCCTTTTGTTCATTGCATCACATGCTTTATACTATTTTTTTTTTTTTTGGTACAAATGCTTTATATTATTTGGACCCACATAATTTGCCAATACAAATAATAATAAACTCAAAATAATAAATGTTAATATGTGTGACTTCAATTAGTGCCTTTGCCACTTGCCTTGACCAAATGCCCCAATTCTTCAACTTGTCTTTTCTTCTCCACACCAACTCCATTGTCCCTTTCCTGCATTTCTTCTGCAACTTCCCCAAAGCCGATTTCTTCTCAAATCTGATCTCGAAGGTGAAGCTTATATTTTGGGGGCCCTTCAAATTTGGGGGCCCTGTGCGGTCGCACAGCCCGCACGGGCCCAAGAACGCCCCTGCCAACACCGACCCACTTTTTATTATATATATGGTTTTTTCCGAACTTCCCGTGGTGTGGGCAAGTTTGGGACGGTGGTAGTGTGAGCTGGGTTGGTGTTTCTCTGGCTACGGGCCTAGGGTTAACCGTCTGGACGAGGGGTCGAGTTCTTGGGTTGCAGTTTAAGTTAGGCGTGTCTAGCAGTTTCTGGAGCGGCATCTCAGGCCGTGGTCCAGTCTGTTTGGGTGGTCGGATGTTGGTGTTGTCGTCGTTTGCTCTTATTGTGTTTGCATGCTAAGGGAAGGGCCTAAGGGCATCCACATCCATACTCATTCATTCAATCACAATTTACACTCTCTCTCATCAATATCATATCCACATCATCTTTTTACTAAAAATCTCTCCATTTAAACACACATCCATATTTGTTCAATCATTTAAATACAAAATGAGGGGTCCATCATAAATAATATATAATTTTCACGGTCCCACCACTTTTTAATGTTTGTGGGGGAGTTAGAAATTTATTTTCTATTTTTAACTCTTCAGTGGGCGTTCAATACTCTTAACACAATTAGTGGGCCCCATAACTTTTTCTCATTAAATGAACGCTTGCATTGGTTTAAATGGAGAACGGACTCGTTTAAACGGCACATTAACGCATCGATGCAGATGCTCTAAGTGTAGTCTTAGTATACTTTTAGTTTGTTTTGTGTTTGTTTTTTATGTATAGTAATTGTTTGTATTGTTGTGTTTTGTGATTTCTTCCGTTTGTGAGCGAGTGGTCTCCAGTGTGAGAGAGTTTATTCTCCATTATTGGAGCTTGATAGTTTTTGTTTTACGTTGTGGGTGAGTAGTCTAGTTTTCTTTCTACCGTAGATTGTAGGTGATTTTCAGACTTGTCCTCTCATTTTATTGGATTTTTTAGCTAATTCATTTTATTCTACCGTAGACAAGCCAGTACGTCTAGCCCGCGGCCCATGGTGGGGTTGGACCGAATTGCCCTTTTACGAGCCTGCCAAGATGGCGTGCCGGCCAGCCCCGCAAAATTGCAGGTTTTGGCGAGTTGCGAGGCAACTCACCCCACCGGCCTGTTTTGACATATCTACTCATGCATCACGACTAGGGATGCAAACAAACCGAGAGTCGAGCATTGGCCTTGTCGAGCAGGATTGATTTTTTTTTTTAGCTGCTCAAGCTCGATTTATGGGCTCGAGCTCAACTCAATAAAAAAATACAAGAGCTCGACTCGAATTCAAAATGCTCGAGCACGGCTCAAATTCTGTTCGAATTTTTTCAAATAATATTGTAAAATAACCATTAACTACATGTATATACAGAAAAATATTTAGCAATTTCATATATCTCGAGCCGCTCGACAATGCAATATATGGGCTCGAGCTCAACTCGAGTTCGCGCTCGAGCCGCCCGAGCTCGACTCGAGTTCGGTCAAACTCGAGCTCGAGGCTCGCGAGCTGCTCGACTCGTTTGCAGCCCGAGTCACGACAAAGAGTCCTCACTTCTGAAATCAACAAAATAGAATCGAACACCTAATTGATTCATTCTAATTCATTTTTTCGGTTCAATTTTGCTCATTCTTCCCAACAAGGCCGACGGAGCAATCTGACCCACCGGGAAAGACTCAGATCGGAAGGTTTAGCCCTCTTTAGAATTGATAATTGTAAGAAAAATTGGGCTAGTGTTGCAAAAGTAGTATTTTTTGTAATAGAAAATGTTAGTCAAGATTATTTATACAAATGGGAGAGTGCTAATTTTCCAAAATTTTTCGAAAAATGTAACCCCACCTGGCCCTATCAATCCTCCTGCTAAAGATCAGATATTTTGAAATAGAAAGCAGCAGCTTGACAAAATCAAGACTCACTCACATGTGACCCAATACAATACTTCTCATTATTGTACAAACTCATACGATTGTGGCACCAAGATCATACAAATATTCACCAGAGAAAAAACATTAATCTACTAGGGAAACATAAAAACTACAGTAATGCCAATACATTCTTTTTTTCCTTATCAGTCGAGATTAATTAACTAATTCGTCCACGTGCAGATGGACAACAATGGAATGGATGGAGGATCGGATTTTGCAGTTGCATTCTGCAAGTCGAAGATTTTTCTGTTGCCGTTTCTTACCAAACTCACGAGGCTTTTACCTTCCACAATAAAAAAATTCAATGTTTTCCAGTCACAATTTCTCCTCCAAGGCTCCAAATGAGCAAAGAAATCAATTTTTTTGAAGTCAGACAATTGCTAAACAAGAAGCTCACAGAGATAGAGATATCTTTATTCAAGGAACAATTGGTAGCATTATTTTGCCTACAGAACTTCTGTACATAATCTTAATTCACTAACGAGCAAAGGTGTTGTTGCAAAAGAGTTGATAAAATCGGGTTTCGAACCTGACCTTTTTCCTTTCATAGGCTTACTTGATGTAATGAAGAAAAGGACTTAAATTTATTTCAAGAAACACCCTTTCATCTCAGTGAAAAGGAGTACAATGCTCAAGTATTTACAAGGGAAAGGTATTCAAAAGTCATCTTGGCAAAGATTAAATTATTCGGATGGGAATAATAGATACTATCGGCCAACAATTTATTAAACGAAAAAAAAAAAGTGAGAGGTACCAGTGATCGAGTATCTATTGGCGAGGCTCCACCAAGACATACAGTGGTTTTCCATTCAAAATTTGTCGCTCCTAGAATACAAGAAATGGTTTTACATTATAATCGAAGTAAAAAGAAATATATATTTCACGATAGAGTGGAAAAAAACAATAAGAATAAAGATTTAGCATCTACACTTCCTTACCTTAAGCTCTGGCAATCCAATAACGCATGCACACTCGACAACCTCAGCACCTTGACGTTCTACACAATTCAGAAAACCAAAAAGCCAAAAGATAAACAAATGTAAACACAATTTTGACTGAATTCCATAACAAGAATACACAACACATCGACGATAAGAATTTACCCAAAAGCTTAATGGCGGCAGACAAAGTCCCTCCCGTAGCCACCAAATCATCAATAACCAATGCTCGTTCTCCTTTTACAAGCGCTCCCACATGCATTTGCAAACAATCATGACCATACTCGAGCTCATATGATTCGGAAATAACTTCACCTGAACAGTGCAAAATCCATTGTTTCATTCATTTATAGATTATTCGGCTTCCAACAATTCCAATGTGAACATAGTACTATATCAGGGAAAAATATTTAGACCAAAGATTTTTTTTTTTTTTTGAAACAGATATGCAAACACTATCCCTGGGGTTTAGCCAAATTGCAGTTGTATATTTTCCTTTGGATTCTTTTGAAAATATATATATATATATATATATATATCTTATTGGGCTAACACCGGGGTAACTTTCAGGATTATTCCGACCTAGTAACCTCAATTGCCTATCAGAGCTTCTGTTCAAGAATTCACCACTTTAAAACGAAAACGGGTTTCTGGGGTTGCTTTTGGATTTCGAATTGGGTATAGAAGTGGCGAATTTTGACAAGAACCATGCTTCACAAGCTGTAAATTATAAACTTTTCGAGTTCAGCCAGAGTATTTTACCTGGAAGCTTCCCGGGCTTACGCAGAGGAATGAATTTGGCACCAATAGCCAAAGCAATAGGAGGAGCAAATATGAAACCTCTGGCTTCAACTCCTACAACAACACTCAGCAATCAGAAATCTGTCCAAACATCGACAATCCTTAAACTACGCAAACATGTAAATAGTGATGAAAATTTTGAAAAGACTCGGCATTCACTTTACCACACCTTTTCAACCATCAACAATAAAGGTTAAAAATGAAAAACCACATCAACTAGTATCATTCTTATGTTTTTCAAATTTTTTTTTTTTTGAATGATTGATCATATCTCACCACTATTCTACAAAGGAACCATATAAAGAATTTGCTTTCATGTTTTCTATGCAATTATCACTCCCCACAGCTTAGAATTGAGGAAACATAAACACATATACTCATGGTTCTTTCACAAGAACAGTCAAGACAGCTTTTCTTATTACACAACTAATCTCTTTTGGGCCATTATGAGGTGCAAAGTGCAGAATCTTGGAGAATATGAAGAGCAAACTTATTAAAAATGGTCTGTGCATCATATTTAAGATCACTTTTCAGCCAAAAATTCACCAAAACTTAACTTTTTTCATAAGAAAGAGTACATTACCGGCAACAACAGAGATCCCCATGTCCTTGTATCTATCGACAAAGATATCTACAGTATGCTTGAAGGCTTTGTGATTTGAGACAAGGGTCGTGATGTCTTGAAACATAATCCCTGCAAACAAAATCACACACACACACACACACACCCACACACAAATAGAGAGAGAGAGAAAGAAAAAAAAAATCACCAAATGAGAAGGAAACAAACAAATTATTCAAAGCAAAAACAAAATCCAACTAATTCCCCCATTGTGAAACAGACATGCACACAAGCATTTCAACAAACAGGATACAGAAGCTACAGAAAAAACACAATTTGAACTAACAAAGACCAAAAAGACTGGATTTTTTGTGAAGAAAACATTACCTGGTTTAGGAAAATTGGGCACAACACTAATGGAATCAGAAATGGCCTTCAATCTTGGGTCACCCCTTAAACCATTCTCAGCTGCAAACATCTTCTCTCTCAAAAGAACCCAAAAAAAAGCAAGGGAAAATAAGGGTATTTACAGACAAAATCTTGTTTCCAAGTGAAATTTTTTTTAAGCAGAGTGAGAGATTCTAATTTGTATGATGAAGGAGCTATTTAAGACTATCTATATGGGTTGGTTGGTGGACAAAAGCTCCACTGAGAGTAGAAGATCCAATTGCTCAGTGGTGCCATAATTTATACAAAATACACGCCAACTTTTTTTTTTTTTTCTAATTTAATTTAATTTTAATTAAACTTTTCTCATTGTTTTCAAGATTTCTTTTTTTGTTAATTTTTTTTGGTGGGTATGCCATTTTAATTCTCTGCGTTATTTACAGAGTGGGCTGGCAATGGCATCCTATGCTCTTTGATATTGTGTCTGGTTTTTTAGATACGCAAATCACTTATGTTGGACCGTAAGGTCTTGTCCAGAAAAAAACTAAAATAAAAATAAAAACAAAATCTGTACTGGCAAAGAAAATTTTCAGTTACGTTTCGTCAAATATTTTATTACTACTTTTTATCTTACGGAGATTTGATTCTAGGTCCCGTTATGGAATCATTCTATCAGAATTTGTAACCGTTAAGTCATCTATTCATGATAATTACAGATTACATGATGATTTAACGATTACAAATTTCGACGGAATGAAAGACTCTAGCATTTCCCCTTATCTAGAAGAGTGTCCGTTGTAAACAATTTTTTCTTCGGAAAAAGCGCTACTTGCTCCGCTACTAACTTTATTTCTGAGAAGTTATTTATTAATTCTATTGTTCTCCATGTTTAAGAAAAACCTTATGAATTAAACACTATTATTGCTACAACTCTTTCGTGCATTACAATGAGTTGATTCTAACTTTAACTTGAGAAGTAAAAAATTTATTTTAAATTAATTAAATGCTTCTTAGAATGGTGTATTGTTGTTTTTATTTAATTTATTTATACTTATAAAGATAGATACTATGATTTTTCATTGTATATATAGAATATGCATATCAAATTATTAAAAACTACTGTGCGTGGCCCGTGCGATGCACGAGAAAACAATATTACCATTGTGTTATAAATTAAATATACAAATAAATAAATTAAGATTTACCCATCGTTTTCAAATTAAATCGTGTTGGACACAGTCCGACCGGATGGACCGAGAACCGATTTATAATCAGTCTAGTTCACTTAAATAAAATATTTGCTATTAAATTCGTCAACACCAGTCGATTGAACTGGTAAGATCAATACGATTTTTTAAATAAATTTGGCTATATTTAAAACTACTTTAAATAAAATTACATATTTAAATAAAATAGAAATTTATAAATTGTTTATCAATCCTTAAATATTTGAATTTCTAAATTGTTTAGATATTTAAGTAACACAATTTATTCAAAATTATTACAATAAGTACTCTATATATATAT